TTTTCATAAATTTTCAATAAATTATCGGTAAATAAAGATTCACCAAATAAAGGTTGCATCGCATTATTATCATTATCGTTATCATCATTGTTATTTGAGTCTTGAGAAATTATCGCCTGAATTGAGTTTGAAAGACTAAACTGAAAGACCATTCTTATAGTTGCATGGAATGTATTCCGAGTACTATCATATATATTTCCATACATAAATGTTTTTTCAAAGAAATCGATATTATCTATAACTGAAATGTTCCATATATTATTTTCTCTAAGTAATCTGCTTTCTGGTTTTGTTTCACTTGATCGAATTTTTTCTAATTGACGTTCATAACGTTGACTATGAGAAATAATACCCGCAGTATAAAGGATTGCATATAATGAAGATATCATTTTAGGCTTACGGCTAAGTGAACTTAAAATATAATTAAGCCATAAATTTGAAGCAGGTAATGTAATATTTATAATCATTGAAGAAAGAAAGATTGAAATTTTTACTGCATGGGATTTATCAAAAGTAGTAATTGGCATATTACGGCTTTTTCTTCTCTGATTATTAGCATTATGTCTTTTCGTATGCAAATAAACAATTAAGGATGTAAAAAATGATGTTAAAAATAAAGGGAAACTACTATAATATTCTTCAAGCGATGATGGTGATTCAAGCTTTAATTTGTTTCGACGAATAAGAGATCGTGAACTCCAAATTGCAGCACCTAATTGTTCTCCAATTTTTTCTGAGTTTTCAGAAGTAAACTTAAAACACTCATTAGAAAGCTCAGAAAAATCCGCTTGACCAATTTTAAATATAGTTCTGAGAAGAAAAGGATTTATAGGTTTTGTAGAACATTTTATCTCTTTGTTGAACATAGTAAGTATTGTTGATAACCAGGCTAATAATTCTTTTTTTTTGTCTTCATTATCAGTAGCGGCAATTTGTAAAATCCAATTTCCAAAAATTTTAAGTGCATCAGTATTATCATTTATATGCTTTTCTTTACAAGAAAAGCTGCGATTTTTTCCCCTCTCTGGTCGCTCATAAAAATGACCGCCATTGTTATTAAAACATTGAGAACATATGTATCGTGTCCGATTTTCATTATTTGACTTACTAAGAATCATACTTTGAATATTTTCTATTTCAAAAACTGAACATACTCTGAGACCAGAACATGGTACCTGGACATTTTTGCCAACTACGCACACTGAATGTTGTACACAATTCTTTCCACGACTAAAGAATGTTTTAAACTTATTGCAAAAAAGACAACGCCTAATATAAACCTGACTTTTTTCAATAGATCGTTCTTGTTTAATACGTGGTGTATGAAGCTTGGCTGCATCATAAGAATAGTGAGATGAACACACTCCCAAGTTACGAAGTTGATTATCATTTTTTGCTTTTTCAAAAGTTTTTTTATCAATTTCCCATGTGCCGATAAGTTGTGTTAGAGGCCGTTGGTTTAAAGATACATTACAGCATTGTTGAAATTGACCATTTGTAATATCCAAAATAACACAAGATGATAATGATTGTACAGTATTATTAGCAGTAGGGTTTGAATCTTCTAATATTATACTTTCATCGTGTGTTAAATTCGAAACTGATTCTAATTCTGTTGAGAATGCTGAATCTTTTTCTAGTTCATCATCATCCTCTCTCCAAAAATTATCATAAGAAATCTCATCATTTTCAGCAAAAATTCTTGCATTTTCAAAGCTCAGTTTATCCAAAACAAATGTGCCGATATTATTATTGTTTCCATCAAGACTTCCGGATGCATAGCTTGTGGTTTCATCATCAAGAATATCATCATCATCTGCACTTTTATATTCAAACTCGCTATCGCTATTGTTAAATTCATTAAAAATAAGTGCATTTTTTTTTAAGTTTAGGTCCTTATTTGTTAAAGAGTTTGGTAAAATATTTGCCATTATTGTAACTCTAGGAATAACGTAACATAAATAATATAACAAGAAGAATTAAAATTTAAAGTGTTGAGATGTGTAAGTAATGAAAAACTAAATGATATTATCGTTATATTTATAATAAAAAATCCTTTAACCATGTAATGGTAAATATAACGATAACTGTAATAATAACGGTAAATAATCAATGACTTTACTAACGCTAAGAATATTGGCGTGAGTAAACTTGTTAACCTTTATTCATATTTGATGTATGCATGGGGAGGCTACACATTCATGCATATTTGCAAAATTTTAACATTAACTTTTTTTGATTACTTTTGATTGAAAGTACATCAGGAAGAATATCTAAATATCAAATTCCCAAGCAAAAATTCCAAATTTAAGATCGCAGAATTTTTGTTTAGGATTCGTGATGTGTGAAAATTTTAAATTAACAGTTATCTGACACATTAATAAGGAAAGGGAACAATAAAAAATTTTGCGAAAGTTTCAGCTTGCAAAATAGCAAACTTAGAATTCAGGTTTTGTATCTAATCTGTATTAACTTTGCCAAACAAAATAATATGAATGGTTTCAATAATAACATATTGATATTCAGCTTTCATTAACATTAATGTTAAATAATCGAATCGTGTGAGTTTATTATCATGGTGGCGACAGACATTTGCAGAATTAGTGTTAGATTTGATCATATCAATATCGATATATAAAGTTGGGAGGCATATTCAAGAAAATTTTGAACGATCAATCAAAATTTCAAGTTTTAGTAGTTAGCGTTAGTGTTAGCATTTGTATTAGTGTGAATCGATCGTTATCATTATCGTTATTATAAGTACTTTATTATTATATTCAAAAAACGCTATTGATGTAAATAAAGATTAATATGTCACCCAAAGATGACTTCTAAACATATCTTTTAGTTGTTTTATGGGGTTGGTGCATAATTATGTGGTATAATGTAGACAAAGATAACCTCATGATAATGATAACGATAACAATAATTTATTTGCTTCTATACTGCACAATG